TATGTATATTACTATAAAAAAGAAATAGCGCAAGTTTGATATTCGCTGTCAGAATTTCCAACTTTCATAAGAAAATTGTTAGCTAGAAATTAACTAATTAAGAGGTAAATATTCCTTGGAGAAACAGTCGAACGTTAACCAGAATATTGACAGACAGTCCTAACCACCAACTACAGAGCAGAACTTTTAGTGGGTAACAGAAAAACCAGCCCTTAACTAGTCTTCACTTACTTTCCATGTCGTCTTTTTTGGTAACATCGCATGGTTGAAAAAGTGCTTTGTCCCCACCAAACTGTTCGTTAAGTTTACAGGTGGCTTTTTCGCAATCTTCTACTAGAACATCGCCAATAATAACAACCTAAAAATTTTGTTTAAATGTCTGGCGTTACTTTCAGTTAACACTTACTTGTGCTCCGGCACATAACAGTTGTTCCGTGATATGATACCCGATTCCACGTGCACCACCAGTAACAATTGCTACTTTGCATTTGGCTGGTTGTTGTTCACAACCACAAGAACTTCTCTTCTGTAGATTTACTGGACAATTAGAATTTCCATATCTAACCAATAAAGAAAGTATTATAATTATAGTCTACCCTTTTATCATATTTATCGGAAATGTTCTTTTTGGTGTGAAAAAAGGTCTGTGTGGAAGGACACGTGGGGTGAATCTGGAGAACATGTGAGTAGCTAATCAAAATGATTTTAAACAAGTACAAGCTCAGAAGGAATAAAAATATATTTAATTTTTCATAACACAAATAGGAAAATAATAAATAAACTACATTTCACTTTTGAGAAGCGTGGTGATGTTTGTGTTGACATTTGATTGTAAGGATAGATTTTTTCCCCTCTTCATTTTTCAACACGTATAAGTGAGAAAGAACCGATCTGATAGATATAGTGTTATCCATATTCAGTTGGTCTTTATGGACCAAACGTATTAATGGATGTTATGATTTGTATTTCGCTGTAACAAATTATAATATTTGAAAGTAAATTAGAGAACTACACCAAGTATCTTTTTAAATATAAAAAAGTAGGGTGTGGTTAAAAACTAAATAGAAGCAATTTTTACCTTGCAGATGCGGAGACAAAAGGGTGATATATATAACTTTTTGTAACAATTTTATTAACGGGCCTAAAGTTGATAGACAAAGCCATTCTACAAAAATTTTATAAATCTCATTCAAAATATGTTGATCTATTGTCACTTTGACAATTTTCCAGTGTGATTGCTTTGATGTTGAAGGATAGATAAATATCCATCTTTTATGCATGTAGACTATTATAGACTATTATAGTCTATACAAGGGTAGCTTATATGAGCAGAATAAAAATTATGAACAAAATATCTTTTACATTCAGCTCAAACATAAATTTTATAATTATTACCTATATGCAATATAATTTATCTTAGAGTTTATTCGAGTTTATATTTACTTAACAGTATGTATTAACATTATTTTAAATTAAATAAGTTAAAGTTTCAGAACTAAATAGTTATACATGTGGAAGACAGTGGCGGTCGGTCCATGGAAGCAAGGGAAGCAGTGCTTCCCCTGGGATTATTAAAAAGAAACACATAATTAGAACCTAATTATTATTTATCACATATATTAATCATTAAAATTTACTTTTACCCAATTTCAATAGACACAGACCTGCTTTTCAACAGCTGAGATAATGTTGCATGATAAAACCGTAACGATGACGCACTCGATTAATCGAGCCAACACGAACTCGCGCGATATAAGCAACTTCTCGAAATGCATCCCATCCCCACTTCATAATCTTGATATCTGAGCCGTATAGCATCGAATGCGTTTTGATTTATAGATTTTAATCTCGATTTTAATATCGATTTTAATATTATACTTAATATTAATCTTCCTAGTATTATTCTCAGCTTTTGTGCTATATTTGTAAAAACTTTTTTGGTGTTTCTAAACCTGTGGTGCGGCGACAAGTGCTTTTCAAAACGTTGAACATCAATGTGCGTATAAGCAGTTTTAGAATTGCTTATTCAATTTGGAAGCTGGTCCTAGCACTGTGGAAAATATTATTTGCGTTTGTGTGGTGTGCAATTTGTTGAAAAAGGGATTTTCAACATATTCGTTTCAAGATAAACTGGATATTATTAGAAACGGGAGACCAACACCTGATTTAAAACTTTTAAAAACGAAAGTTAAATCATGCTATAGGTACTTTAATATTGAAATGTACAGTGCTAATCAGTGGTTAACGGGTTGTGAAAATTTGTGTAAATTGTTTTGTTGGCCATGTGTACTTTTCACAAATGAAAAAGGTGTTTGGAATAAAAATGGCTTTTCAGATTTAAACAACATTCACAAAGTGACAAAGAGGCATGGTAAGTGTGAAACTCATTTGCGAGCGGTGCTAAAAGAAAAAAACATTTGGAAAATCACGAATTGAGCATTCATTAGATCAGCAGTTGAAAGAAAGTGACCGTAAGCATAATGAACTTGTAAAAAAAAATCGAGAAATGTTAAAAAGACTTATTGACATTGTTTTCTCGGCGGAAATGAACTTAGATTTAGAGGTCATACTGAATCTCGGATCGTTGCTAATAGGGGCAATTTCATCAATTTAGTTGATTTATTAGCAAAATACGATACAATTTTAAGTAACCATCTGAAACACTCCACAGTATTTCGCGGTAAATCAAATCATATTCAAAATGATTTGATTCAGTCGATAAGCAATATTGTTTTAGAAAAGATCAAGCAAGAAATAAAAAAAGCTCCTTTTTGTTGCAATTATGTTAGATGAAGCAACCGATATTACGAATATTAGTCAGTTGTCAACCATAGTACGCTACATAAATCCAAATGGGAAAATCCAAGAGCGCTTTTTAGGATTTTTAGACGTAACAACGCAGAGAACGACTATAGTTTGTCAGATAGTCGATGATCTACAGTGTGGTGCTAAACTTATCGCCCAAAGTTATGATGGGGCCGCTGTAATGGCTGGTGAATTGGGGGGCCTGCAGGCCAAAGTAAAAGAGACTTTTCAGAGTGCAATATTTGTACATTGTTTTGCGCATCGATTAAATTTAGTTCTTGCTCAATCTGCAGCGTGTCTTAAAGAGTGCAAAGAATTTTTTCAAGTATTAGTGAAATAGCTGCCTTTTTTTCAAAATCATCAAAACGGGCACGAGCTTTAGATTTGGAAGTACAGAAGAGACTACCCAGAGTTGCTCCAACACGATGGAATTACAATGGGAGGCTAGTACAAATAGTATCTGAATATCGACAGCCTCTAATTGATTTATTTGAAAATATTTTACAAAGCAAATATGATTGGGATACTGAGACTTTGAATGTATCCAGAGGTTACTTAGATTCATTGAAAAGAGACTGATTTTAATTTTTTGTTAAATATTTTCTCCGAAATATTCCCATTTACTGACAATTTATTCAATATTTTGCAAAATAAATCAAATGGCGTTGGATTTTGTGTAAAGAAAATTGAAGAATTCAAAAATTTGATTTGTAACAAATGAAATGAATTTGAAAAGTTCTGGGAAAAAACTAGTTATGACAATTTAGAGCCGCAAAAAAAAAGAATACGAATTGAATTTATAGTGGATCGTAGAACTTCATATCGAAGACTTTATTGACATTTTGGACAATATTACGGGGTAACTAAATAATAGATTTAAAAATTTTAGTGATATGCAATTTTTAGAATTGTGTAATATTAATGAATTTAAAAATAAACAGTTTCCACAAAACGCACTTCAGTCATTGAGTGATAACTACGGAATTTTTTTTGATATAGTTGGGTTACGATCGGAACTTTCAGTTATTTATGCTACAGAAGATATTAGTGAGAAACATAACACCAACGAACTGATTATCTTTATAAAAGAAAATAGTTTGGATCAGGCCTGAAGTGTTGAAATTGTGTGAGTTAGTGTTCATGATACCTGCAACTAGTGCCTCGGTTGAACGCAGTTTTTCGACCTTAAAAAGAATAAAAACTTTTTCAAGAAATTCAACCAGTGAAGAGCGGCTTTCAAAATTGTCCCTGTTGACAATAGAAAGTGACTTTGTGAAGATGTCCCAAAATTCAAACTTTTACGACGAAGCTATTTCCGACTTCGCAAAAAGGGAGAGGCGGATTAAATTACATTATAAATAGATAGATATGTGCATGTTAACTACTTAACTAGCCGGCTCGATTTATAGTTGGCTAGAGAGAGCACGATGGCAAGTGTAACTGAACAAACTCTCTATTTCGCTGCGGGTTCGATCCCCGCCACCGGCAATGGCAATGTCGGTGGGTATGGTTGTGTGTCTGCGTCTTTTTCATAAGTATAACCCTCGCCAGTGCAGCTTCCGCTTTGGAATCGGGGGTTGTCTAATTTTTGTAGTGTTTTTATGTCTTATGTTTATTGAGGAGTGGCGGTCCTACAAGTGTACTTTTTTTCTAGATATCATAACTTTGCGGCTTTCGACATTTGCTTTAAAATGAGTATCTCCCGTATACGCCCTCCCACGCCCCTTTTCTTAAAAAAATTTTGCCTCGCTTCGCTTGGGGCTTCGCACTACCCATCGCCCTATATCACAAACTGCTTCCCCTGTATCAAAACTCACCGCACGCCCCTGGTGGAAGAGCTTATTAAGTGACAGATATCTCCTATAAACATGTTGCCGAAAAATACTCCTTTAGGAAATTAGGTTGTGCAACATTTTATCCAGAATAAATGGCCTCCTTTCCATCATACCGTCTTCAGGAGTTAATAGAGACAAAGTATATTTTTGCAGATGTCCCTATACACAACAATATAGGATTATAATAGTCATAATGAGGTGCATTAAAGTAGTAACTCTTCTGTTTGCATATAAAGTAGGAGAATAAGTTTCTACTTAAAAAGGTCCCCGCGGAGAAGTCACTCTGCGGAATTATGTATTGCAAATTTAATATACAGGATGTAACAGAAAATGTATGTTATAAATGTCACATACTTACGTGGCTTCGTGGTCGAGTGGTAAGAACATTTATCTCTAACTCTGGAGTCCTAGGTTCGATCCCTGGTCGTGGTGCTGGGTTGATTTTGTATCTTTCGAGTTTTGGTGGTCTTTAAATTTGACACAAGAATATATATAGTAGTAGTCGTTCAATGTTTTAACAAATTATGACTAGTTTATCTCAAATTAAATGTTTTGGTGACCTCTTTTTTTATTCACATTAAATTTTTTATTTATTTCTCAGTGTACACAATCACACACGCCAGGTTAGCTTAATAAAATAAAAGTTTAAAAAGTGTTATATGAAATATAACATATAATAATATACATAGATTTATAACTAGTATTTTAAAATATATGTATATACAAGCAAACAAATACATATTTAAACACTTTTCTAAAATAAAAGGTAAGTGAATTCATATCTTCAGATCAAAAGTCACTATTAAATGTATATATCTACAATAAATTGTAATTTAAACATTTATCAGTTATAAAATGCGTTTTCAACAAGAATTCTTTTGATATTGTGTTGAAAACTTTAAAATCAAAATTTATTATTGCCTTTGAAGTTTGTAAAATAATAGTGGGCATAACAGTTTTTAATATCTCGACTATGAGCTACAGTTCTGTGTAGTTAATTGTAATGTTACTATATTCTGAATATTATGAGAACGTGTATCAATTACAAGACTATATACATCTAGATTCTTTCTCACAAAAGAAGACACTCATAGATATATACAACTCCTTAAACGTCTTACTAACATCCTTTCCAAAACTCATAAAACACAGAACGAATGGCATGGTGCTTGTATAGAAAATATTCGGTCATTGCTGATTTGCCCCAAGTTATTATAGCATAGCTTAGTGTTGAAAGAAAAAGGCTAAAATAAGCTGTTTTTATCACTTGTAGGTATATATAGACAAGGTGGGTCACAGGGTGGATCAAATGAGACTGAAGGATGTAAAACATAAATATCTTTTGTAAATTAATTTTTTTATAACTATTTCTTTATTACAAAATATAATTCTTAAACATTTTTTACAGCATTGTATGAAATACAGCATCCTTACATGGGCCCCATTTTCTTGCTGATAAAGACGTGCTCTTTCTGCACGAATATCGTTTTTCAGTTGGTGAATGGTTTGGGGTATGTCCACATACACCCGCTCCTTCAAATAACCCCATAAGAAGAAGTCGGGGGCCGTCAGATCTGTTATTAGCCCATATTTTTTTAAAATGAGGAAAGACGCCCAAAAACCATCAGCGGGTCTCTGTATAGAACCATGATTGATAATTTTTTACGTCCGACGGTCGAGAATAATCCTGAAATATGGTTCCATCAGGACGGAGCCACGCCGCACACGGCTGGAGCAACAATGGAGTTCCTACTCCATGAAATTTTCGGTGAACGAATTATTTCAAGAAATGCAAATTATGTTTGGCCTTCCCGTTCACCAGATTTGACGGACTCCGAATTATTCTTACGAGGCTATTTAGAGAAGCGGGTGTATATGAATAGACCCCAAACCATTCACCACCTCAAAAACAATATTCGTACAGAAATAAGAAATTTTGCTTAAAAGTAATGCAAAATTCTCTGGAAACAGCCCATCTTTGTCAACAAAAAAATGGGGGTCATTTGTGGGATGCTATGTTTCATACATAGCTGTCCATGAACTATATTTTCTAACAAAAAAAAAAATAAAAAGTTATGAAAAAATTAATTTGCAAAAGTTATTTATGTTTTACATCCTTCAGTCTCATTGCGCTCACCCTGTACAAGATTTCTAATTGTTTTATTAAGTTTCATAGTCACAAAATCTACATAACGTTCCCAAGTAGAAGATCTGATCGAAGTATACAACAAGAAATTTTGCAAACTACGGATTTTGTGCGTCATTTGAATTACGATATGAAAATACCATGCTTAGGGTTTTCTGTTATTAAGTAAGACTAATGCTTTATTAGCCATGTCATCCAGTAGATAATTTTTTAGTTATTTTATATAATCGGCATATAATAGAATCAAGCAACTTAAATTGGCGTAAATTAGATCATTTATATAAATAATAAATAACACTGAGCCAAGTATCGACCCCTGCGGTACGCCGTGTTTAACTGATAGGAGCTAGAACTTATTTTATTAAAGAAAGTGGTTTGTTTTCTGTCTGGCAAATAAGTTTTTATTAAATTTAAACTTGCATCATAAAACTGTAACTTATCTAATAATGTTATGTGAGAGATATAATCAAACGCTTTATTTAAATCGCGGAAAATTGATCCTACGTAATTTGTATTTTCAAATCCGTTCACAATATTAATTGTAAAACAGCTATAAGGGTTGAATACCCTTTTCTGACACCAAATTGATTTGCAATTAACATTGTACGCCTATCGTAAATAAATGATGTCATGTGTGCGTGTGAGAATTTTTTTTCATAACCTGCATCCCGAGATACATTTAAGAATTGTTACCTACAATATATATAAAATTAGTAAAGCGAAAACATTAAATTTGCCTCAAAAGTGTATGCAATTGATGCGTTTTCTTGCAGGATCACTCCTTATTTCGAAAACCCTAAATCCCATAGAATTTGTATTCTTGTACAACTAAATTCTTTACAAATCGGGCGTACCAAGAACATCATGCGGGCCTCCAAAAAAAAACAAGTGGGTAAAAAGTGGTTCTTGACCTCTCAGATGGGCTCTTATAAATAATTGGCCTGATTATTTTTTTTTTTGTTTCAATCAAACTGTTGTTATTGATCGTATGTTTCAGGATTTGGAAAAATATTAAGGAATTTTCACTTCCAGAATTTGTGATTTAACATAATTTTTTAAATACCCTGTATATCAATTTCAATCCCCTCATATAATATAACACTAAAAACGAAATACAATATACAAAAGATTTTTTTATTATAATGGTATAATAATAATCGCAGTGATTGATACATTTGGGTAAATTCTTACAAAAATTGGTTTTAATTTTCCGAAATATTTCGTTTGTGCATTACCTACGTCTAGTATTTTTAAATACAGTGAAGTATTAGTACTTAAATAAATTATAATGAAACTGGAAATTTAAAATACTAAATACTTACATGATCTACATATTTAATTTCCAATTAATAAATAGTGCAAATCATATTCTTTTGGTTACCTATAAACTTATTCGAGCACCAATTGACTCTGCCCAAGGGGATATAATAAATATTACAATTAGGTACCATTGGTTTTGGTATCTTTTAAATATACTTACAATTAAAACAGTTATAATTTCCATTAGAATACTACCTATATTTCAGACCAATTTTATTTTTATACTAAACAATACTGCTACTAAGTAAAAATCGTAGTTAAATCATTTTAGAGTCTTAATTTTTACGGAGTGTGTTCCTGTCGGGAATTTCCACCTCGTAGACCGGTTGACCTCCTTCGGAGACCCATACACTGCCATTTTCTCCCGTTGTAAGCATAGTGTACAGTCCTTTTGCAACGTTTGATGTTCTGAAAAAGAAGTAAAATACTACAGTTGATTTCGCTAGATATTATAAATGGTAAGTTAAAATTAGCTGGAAGTTTAAAATATGGACTATTTTATAATGGTCGAAGATAACTACAAAATGCACCACAAATCTGCAGGTTGGAAAGTCCTTTACACCACCGAAAGATTTTTTTCGTATTCACATAAAAATCCAATTTTTATAAAAAAATACTAGTAAGAAATTGTGATAGTGATTAACAAAATTTCTTATCTATTGTTACCACGAATATATTATATACATATTTTGTACTTGTAGATTGATTATAGTCGCATAACTCATAATTGAGATGTCGCACTACATTGAAAGTTAGATTTTTTTTTGCATATGATTCTACATTATATAGTTTGGAAATTTATGATGGAATACATATTATATCTCGATGATAGAAAAACCAGAAAAAAGTTAATGTCTGGGCAGGCATAGTGGGGAATCAAATATTTGGACCAATATTTTTTGAGAGTAACCTAATCGGAGCTATATATCTAAACGTTCCCCAAGCAGCTTATTCCTAGTTTGACAAACTTATATCCTAATCCAATGATACCAAATTCTTCTTTGTGGTTTTAATAGGATGAGGCACTACCTCAGGTTGGTATTCGGAACCTGACCCCACTGGATAGATTGTAGTGGAGCTACCTAAAAAACATGATCTATCAAACAAAACCTGCAAACTTGCAAGATTTACGAGCTAAGGGTTGCTGTCAAGAAAGCAATAAGGTGCCCATTTTGAACAATTTATTAACTAACTTTAATAAACTGACTAAATCCATTTTTACCATAAGTCTTATTAAAAACCTAGTTTTAGAATTTAGGTATTTCCAATTTAAGAAAATGGAATTTAAGAGGTCATATTTGATTTTCACATCTTTAAAACGCTTTATATTGGACAAGGATTAATCGAATTCAAAAAATTTAGAGCCAGTGTATAAATAATTAAAATACCTTTCAAACAAGGTATACTAAACCCTGCCATATAAAAATTTCGAAAGTATTGATCTGTAGGTGAAGGAGTTTGAAAGAGAGTATGAAATTTTTATTGCAAAAATTGGTGTTTTAAGAAGAAATATCGACCTATCTGAGTCTGAGGATATTTTCCAAAAAATGTCTTATCGAGATATAGAATTTATTCCATCCTAAGTAATCACTAATATATATAAGTGGTTGTCATTTTAAATTGTTCAGCGTTTAAAAAAAAAATACGTTAAACCACCAATGAGACAATACGCGTTATTCCATTTTCGACCCAGCGTTGTACTATTGCTTCTATTTATGTCACTGTGCTCGACTATAACTCTGTTCACTAAAATTTTGCTTCGTTAACCAGTATAGAGCGCTGATTCTTAGTGCAGACGACAGACAGATGTGCACAAGTGCAAAGTTCCTATAGCGGTTTATTTTCGTATTTATTTTATTTCATAAGCATCGTTCGTAATTGGACGTTTCACTAATTTAAGTCCAACCCAATACTGAAAAGTTTAAGTGAATAGAGTTAAGTCACTGTTTATCTGCTCCTGAATTCGAA